TAAATTGTCATCCTCTTCGTACGTCTATCCCATTACATCATCTTTGATTTTATAGTTCTAATAATAAATTATGAAGGTTCTCCTTATGCGGGTATTTTAAAGATGCGAATCTGGTATTTATTTTAGCGTAAGTTGGAAGCTGTGTCACGGATTCGAACTTGCACGATCCTAAAATATGAGCTTAAACTGTCGGTTGGTTCCTACTGAAAGCCCCGCAAGGTCCTATTTACACGAAACTTAGAATTCTGGGAGTACGAATTTAAGTGACTACTTTCTTCCATTTTTTTAAAAGTCTTAAAAACTTATTACGTATTGAAGGATGGCTCTTCCTTTGTATTAAGTTGGGGGGGGGGAGAGATTAGTTCTGTCTGTCGGATCCAGGAGAATGTCTCCCCACCCCTTTTCACCTGCAGACTACGGAAAATCCGTCCTTCGAAGCGAAGTGATTTTGAAGGGTTTAAGATTTTTTAAGATTAAAAACATACGATGGTTAAAGTCCAGAACAAAGAAAACGGCATAATACCATCGTCAGAGACATCCATAGGCGAGCGTCCTTAATCGAATCGCGATATAGACTTTTGTTGTATTTACATGCATTAAAAGGCGTGGCTGACTGATTTAGTTAGAACGAAATCTCCGTATAGGGTACTCAGCCTCCCTAATAATGCCCCCACCATCAAACCCTCTGACTCCAAAAACCACTTTTAAGGAACCTGTTAATGCATTGGGCATTTTCGCATTTTTAATGCACGGTTTATGTACAGTAAGATAGGTCGTGTAAATAGGGGTTTAAAGTCGAAGCATCGAGGTACTTTGGGCGAAACATGCCACGTCATGACAATAATTTTTGTAGTGGCAATGTGGGGCGTGGTTCAATCATTTCACTGTTTTAACGTCCCGACACTGAATTTCCGTTCACTTGGAAAATATTGCGTGATCTGCCGTTGAACCGCAGGAGTCCGAGAGCTGATGGTAACTTCCCGTTGTTTGACGACGCATGAGATTCACCTGCCCACCCTCACAACATTGAACGCAGTATGGACAATGATTTATTTGTTACAGGGGGAATACAAAATCTAACGCTATACCTGTTCGTTTCCCGATCACGAACGAACGTTGTGCCCTGTGCTCACTGTGACTAAAAGCGTTAGAACCGCTGTAATACCTCGCGTGAATAAGGGCGGAATAATACAGCGCATGCGTACTGCGATCTGGCTTCACCCATGCTTCAGGAGCAGTGAGCATAGCATGCATTTCCGTGTTTCAGCTAGGTCCCTTACTAATAGGAATAATAAAAAGTAGGAACGTCGTCTCGTGACTGTCTAAAAAGTCTGAGGGAATTGATGGATTTTAATTAAACTACGTTTAAACATCTAGAGGTCACTCACTGCCGTTGGTTCCACAAATGTGCGGAGCAAATAAAGTAGAGCTACAATCGGCTACACTGTTGGGTCCTGTGCTATTGTGCAACGGTAGGTGTTATATTTTTTTGCGAACAAATTTGGAATTGAAGATTTTTGTCTTCTGGGTTGTTGCGCTGTGTAGTCTGGTCGATGTTAACCAACGTTTCAGAGGTCATACTGCCTCCGTCACCATACTACACAGCGCAACAACCCAGAAGATAGAAATCTTCATACTCACCGCTGTGATAACCTCAAATCTTACAAATTAGGAATTCCTTATTCTGCCGCTAAAAAGAGCAGTTACGTAAGAGTTCGGAATTTTATGATCTCCATAGCAAAATTGACGATGTTCTTTTGTTGGTAGTTATAATTGAGCTCAGGAGTATAAGAAATCAAAGTATATTATCAAACCTTGTTGAACGTATCCCACCTGCTTTTGTTATAGTAAACTTAAATTCACTTAATGAGCAATTTAGTTACCGCTTCACGTGTGTTATATATGTGCTCAGTTTATCATCGCTAACAAAAACACTGTATGAAATGTTTAATGTGTGTCTATTTTATGCGGTAGTACATCATCTGCCGAGCGCTGCAGTGGCGTGCGCCGGGTTTCAAATGCTACGCCGATACAGCGTAATGTAAATGTGCCTCCTTCCCTTCTTCATTACTCTTACTTAGTTCAGTTGTGCGAATGCAGCGATTTTTTTATTAACCCACTTTAAATAAACTTGCAGTTAACAAAAGGACATTAATATTTGAAATGTATGCACAATTAAACAAAGGTACAGGTTTATGTATTCGCATTGAGCTAACACACAACTAACAAATTATATTAAAACTTCATGTACTGTTATTTATTTTCATTTGTCGCGTTGATATAAATTCAGATATATTTCGTTAAATTGGAATCGAATCTGTAAAATGAAGATGGCTGTCTTCTGGGTTGTAGCGCTCTGTAATCTGGTAGATGTTTATTGACATTTCAGAGGAGCTTGTTGCCACCATCATCAGGTCGCTAAACTTACACCTGACTACGATGCACTACAATCCAATCTTTATAATCGCCGTCATAAGGAAATATAAATTTCTTCTTAATTCATAAAATGATTATACAAACGTAATTATACAAATGCAATAATGCCAAATCCGCATTCGTGAGCTGAAGCAGAGTTGTTATATCTTCACTTTCCCTTCACATACATTTTCATACCACGAAAAAATACAGGATTACATTTTGAATTCCAACACCTAACCTGTTAACTGTAGCAATATTTTGAAGTCCCAGTTGTATGGAATATAAAATCAACATTCCAGGGTAAGCTCCTATAAATTAGCAGATTATAAAAATAATTGTAGCTAATAGTGAAAGTATAGACGAGAATAATACGAAACGTTGGGCGTGGACATTGAGACAATATGAAAAGGAAACAATTATGAAAGAAAAGATTAGTGGTTTGTTAGAATTAATTGAAGAGTAGTTAAAAAATACATTTCTGATAGAAGCATGTACTCAGGAGGCTAGAAGAGGTATAAGATGGTGGCAAATGGGCATCTGAAAATTGAAGGGTGTTAAGGGAATGCAGAAAAAAGGATGTACCCGATAAATAAAAAGACCAGAGCCTCATGTTGAGAGGGGACCAAAAATTGTTGGGAAGAGCTGATAGACATAAGATCAAAGACTACCGGAGCCCGAAATTGGTATTACAAGGATAACGACAAATAAGGATTATGAGAAACTGCAAAAAGTTGTTATGTTTAAGTTTATATAAGGAGAACTGGAAAAGGTGAGTGATGAAATATGACGACGAATAAATTGTAAAGCAGACGGTATTAAAGATGACAGATGGTAGTATAAATTAAAGGAAAGTAGAGAATGTAAAAATGTTATAGGAAATGTAAGTATATTTATAAGTGGACATAAGACCAGGGAGTCATGTTCAGCATTGTAAACTGAATCCGATAGAATAATAAATGTCGATAATAAAAGTATTATGACACAAAAATTATGTACCTAGTTGCTCTTTAGTTTTAAGCACACTGAGGGCTATTTACAGTTAATATCTGCATCTAATAGCGTAGATTAAATTACAAGTTCTCACGGAGTCGAGTAGATGTTGTTTCGAAAATGGTTGTCTTCTGAGTTGTAGCACAGTGTAGTCTGGTAGAAGTTCACGCACGTTTTAGAGGTCCCTGATTCCTTTATCATCAGAGCGGTGATGGAGGCAACCCAAACCAGAAGACAGCCATCTTCGAAACCTAAAATCTTGCATGAAGATGGTTAACTTTGAGATATTGCAGGATGTAGTCTAGTGGATACTTATCGACGTTTTATAGGAGCTTACTTAATCATCAATCTGATGATAAGAGTTCAGTTTTCTGGTTTAAAAATCTATATATACAGATAAGTACATCGTATGTTGCTACAGATTAATTTTCTTGTTCTGTGTGCTGTTATCGTGCCTGTTAATAAAAGTCATAGAACCGTCGTCAGAAATTTTTTTTTCTGCAGCAGCGTTTTATGTGAACCTGCGTCATCTCGACATAATATCATAAATGAGAGTACGCTATCATGCACAGCCAGAGTTTCAAATGGAACTCAAAACCGAGCAAACTATTGACTGAAATAAAAAAGAATCATAAAAATTTCCATATGTCTAAAATTCTGTATGATTCTATGATATGTTTATTCAGTCTGTCATATACAATTTTTACATGCTAACTTCCCGGTCTTTTTCTCCCACCTTTTACATTATTTTATGCACATATCTTTAATTTATTTCACTTCTTTAAACATTTCCCTTAGTGAGACCTCTATTGTGTAGTCTATCATAAATTTCTATTCATTTTAAGACCTTTATTGTATAGTCTATCATAAATTTCTATTCATTTTACATTAACTTAAACTCCAACCTAAGATCAGTTGTCCGTATTTTACATTTCTGTTCCATCCTCACCTTTAAGCATGATATTTCCCGGTTGTGTCCGATGGTCGCTATCTTCACATGAGATCTGGTTTTATTACCACCTTTATTACACATAATCGTGGTACACAGCCCACATATTATTTTTAAGTACCTGCTTCATTTTTCCTGGATTTTGCTAGTATAATGAACTCCATTTTTATAAGGTATTAAAAAGTTGTAAAGAACGCGGTATGGGTGTATGTGATAATCTTTGTTAAAATAATTGCCATATTTTAGCTGCATCTTCCTACAAGCGTCAGACCTTGTGTATAACGAAGTAGCCATTATAGTTTGAACCATTTTTACTCGGAAAATGTTTGTCGTTTAGAAAAAATTGTTATTTTATCCCAGGTTGATATTACAGGTACCAAAATACGTTCATATTGAAGAATGCGTGAAGACTTTTTAGGGTTCATTACAGACTTTTAAGACTGATAGTAGATGACAAAGATATAATTATAGGTTTTCAGTACAACACGGTATTTGGAAAGTAATAACGTCAACAAACAAAATGACGTATTTACTTGCATCTCAAAGAGAAGGACTCAAGGTATAACACACATCTCTCAAGAAGAAATTACTGCAAAATTGGTTATCGTATGGAATAGTTGCTGAAACGCATAGATCGACTCACCCAGGGTTTGTCCTAGCACTTTTCGTCCATCCTCGCCGAGGCACGCACTTCGAGCGTCGAACGGGTTCGTGAACTGCACAAAGGCGTACCCCTTATGCATGGAGATGCCTGCGGGGAAACACAAAACCAAGTCATTACAACACTAAGGTTAGTTAAGTTTTCTTCTTGTGTATTATATTCGCGGTGATTACAACGAACTCAGACCTTCCTGACAGCCTCTGGCACAGCACGGCAGCAGAAGGAGACGCATCGAGAAATGCAGTATGTACACACAGCAAGTTAAAGTTGCTGGCAATTTACAAGGCGAAGTTTTACTAGGCTAAAATATTATTAGGGTCAAATCAAGAAGGATGATGCAGGGCTTTCCGCACGCGTGTATTCATATAGGATGTTAATATAATTACTTGAGGAAAACGGATCACTTGGGAAAATTAGACGTAAATGTAAGGAATATACTAAACTGGACTTACGTGGGGTTTGGGCGTGTGGTCTGCGCTAAAGTGGGTTAAAATGAAGTCCAGTGGCTGGCATTGGTGAACTCTGGTTTTATAAAATGCCGGAAATAGTTTGATCAGGTGAACAAATATAAGTTTATAAAGGGACCTGCTGTGTTAAATTATCATTCGAAGCTGTATGCTGCTCTAAGCAGAAGTGGACAACGTCTACTGAGACACTTAGAATTAGTCCGTGGTGCATGTACATTTAAAATGAAAACGCTTCCTTTGCCATGTTGCGTACCTCGCTGGATCTATCACATTAAATGAAGGCGTGATACACATTATCATATCTAATAACACTTTATCTAAACATCTGAGAATACATTATTTGTTTTCATTAAATATTTTATAAACTTTGCTGATAGTTTCAAGTAGATCTGTTGGTTCGTACAGTACAGTTTGAGCTTTATGGAAGAAAAAATTATGATTTACCGGTACACACGAAAAGTAAATTTTATGTAAAAACGTCGAGTAGTTTCAGTGATGAATCTCGCTGACAGGCATGACTGCATTTTATGAATTTTAAAGCAGACAACGCAATATATTTTAATATATTCCATCGTGCTGAAAAGATAATATTTAGTTATTTCTTTCGTTGAAGTTCAAACACATTAACAAAATTCTTTATTTTATCTGGCGTCGTTTTATAAAAAAAAAGTTAAGCTAATAAAGAAACCACTTTATTCGACTTTTATATCCCCCATCGTGTTATTGAACTCGGCCGTCTGTCCTCCAATCGAATTTTCTGTTCACTGTGTGTACAATGATGTTATGATCGAGTGTTCGTTTCTTGAAAAAAAAACATGCGACTGTAGCAGGAAGAACATTTTATGAATGACG